CAAGGGCCCCAGACAGAGGCCTAAATAGCATTTATGTCTCAAAGTTCTGGAGGTGATAGTCCAAGAGGGCTCTTGTATGATGGAATTCTGAAGAAAGCCTCTTCCAAGATGGCAGGGTGACATCTCATTGTGTTCTCATGTGGCAGCTCTTTCTTCAACCACACAGATGGTAGGGAGAACCCCAGTTTTGCTGCTCCCTCTGTGAAATGAGTCAGGGAAATGGCATCTAAAATGCTGCTGAGGCCATGGTGTCTGTGAGACTCTTCCCTCAGTGCACCGAGGTAGATCTAACCTTACAAGGATCATATGAGATCCAGGTCAGGCTGTTGCAAACAGCATTAGGGTCTGCAAGGTTGGCTTTGTGTGACTTGAGACCAACTCTGCTCCCATTCAGCTTGCTGCTTCAAGGGAGGTTACTTTCAAGGCCAGAGGAATGGCTTCTGTGAGCCTACCCTGAGGGGCATGTGTAGACTACTGACTGACTGATGTTCTGCCCTCTAGGACCATCCATGGTTCCCTCTTCCCAACGTCTCCTTTCTTCCTTCTTCCCTCTTCCTCCTCTCTCTCCACCCCTTCTGCTGTGCTCCCATCTCTGGTAGGGCCCAGCAGTAGAAATAGCATCTGTCTCAGGTGCTTCCAACCCAGGAACACCAAGAGTCTGAGGCCCCTAGAACAGGGTGTTCTTATCCACCCTGATGAAACAACAGTCTGAAGACTGTTAAGGCCAGATGGCAGGGCATGGCTGTCCTTCACTCTGCAGTGACCACCATCTAGCAAACATTAAGGACCAAAGATATCAGAGGAAGAGACAGGAACTCCAGGATCAGCTCCCCATAACATACTTGATCTTAAGGCTTAGAGGGGTGCTCAGGTCCCACCATACTTAAATCCTGGGTCCTTCCCAAGATGGTCTATGACTGATGTTGGCAGCCATCCTCTCACCATACTTAAGTTTTAGATCCTTACCAGGAAATCAGGGGGCAGTGCCTGGCATCAGCTGCCTTCCTGAGCCCTGGGCTCCTGGGCTTCTGTTTTTACTCATAAGCCAAAAATCATGTGTAATTGCCCTGGAACCAAAAGTCTGGTGGGCAGAACACACACAACAATGAACTGAAGAACACAGCGGGCAAGTGCTTTATAAGAGAAAAACCTTGTAAACAATGCAAACAGCACAAACAGAATCCTGTGTCAACCGACATGAACAGTCATATCAAAAAGGACACAGACCACCCAATATTGATATTTTTGCCAACAATGTTTAAGTGAACCCAATCACTAACAAAGGAGCCAGGAGGACAAGCCTTGGGACCGTTGGAGACAGATGGATTCACACTCCTGATCACCAGAGTGTGGCAGAGAAACCTCCTCATGCCCAGGATGACAGGGTGGTCAATGAGAACCATCATGCTAAGCAATGGAGCCAAACCAACTTGAAAGGTAGCTCTGGAAGCTCTGAAACCCCAATGGAAGGTTTGAAAAGACCAAGCTGGCTCTATGCAATTTAAATGTGTGTAAAGGCTGCTCATAAAATCTGGCCAGCTAACACCCAGTCATTCGGAAAACAAAAAACAAAAACAAAAACAAACAAACAAACCTGACCGTATGCTCATCAGGATGGGGGTTTCAGAACATCACTGCTAAGTTAAAGAGGCCAGAATCCCCTGAGCCACGCTCCCCAGAGGGCCTGGTATATCCTGTTCTGATAAACTGAAGCCACTTGTGTGTTTTTGTTATGTATTTTTTTATTTTTTATATTAATTACAGCTTATTTACTTTGTGTCCCAGCTGTAGCCCCCTCCCTCATTCCCTCCCAATCCCACCCTCCCTCCCTCATCTCCTCCTTGCCTTTCTCTAAGTTCACTTATAGGGGAGGTCCTCCTCCCATCTGACCTTAGATTATCAGGTCTCACCAGGACTGGCATCAATGTCCTCCCCTATGGCCTAGCTAGGTTGCTCCTCCAACAGGGGGCTGGGGAGGTCAAGGAGCTCGCCACTGAGTTCATTTCAGAGACAGTCCCTGTTCCCATTACTAGGGAAGCCACTTGGATACTGAGCTGCCATGGGCTACATCCAAGCAGGTGTTCTAGGTTATAACCATGAATGGCCCCTTGTTGGAGAATCAGTTTCAGACAAGCCCCTGTGCCCAGATATTCACTTGTGGAGCTCCTGTTCTCTCCAGGTCTTACTAACTCTCTCTTCTTTCGTATGATTCTCTGTACTCTGCCCAAAGTTTGGTTGAGTCTCAGCATCTGCTTACATACACTGCTATGCCAAGTCTTTCAGAGGCCCTCTGTGGTAGGCTCCTGTCCTGCCTGAAGCCACTTGTAATGACAGAGGCAGACTGTGGTCTTTGGCTGTAGGTACCGAGACCTAGAGACACACCTAAGATCTCCCTGAATGGTGGAACTGGTTCTTGCGAAATTTTGCTCATTCTATATGCCAATATTAGAAGGCAGAGACGTGAATAAAATAAATAAATAAACTCAGTAAATAAAGGTGCTTGCTGATAGTCCTGATGACCTGAGTCCTGAAAGGAAAGAACCAAGTCTATGTGTCACATTGGTGGGATCTGTTACCCTCATGGTAAGTTGGAAGTGGAGTAAGGCTCCAACAAAATGGACACACAAGACTGCTCAGCCCCTGCAGTGGGGTCATTCTGGTGCTGGAAGCCTGCTGTGGGGAAGGAGGCTGCCAGAGAAGAAGATGCCTGGGACTGGAGGAGAGAGAGCCATGTGGAGGAGAAAGCAAGTGACACTGGTCCTGGTGCTCACATTCAGGGCAGGTGAACTGGTCCTGGTGGTCTCCAGATGGCTCCTGCTGTCCTTGCTCCTTGTAGCTGAACATGCCTGAGTAGTCAGAGGATGAAGAGGAGTGGTGCAGCCACTGTGGAAGTCAGCATGGAGATTCCTAAAGACAGAAACTAAAGCTACAATCTGACTGTTCCTGGGGACGCACCCAAAGGCCTCTAAGTCAGCACACCACAGCAGCAAGTGCACGTCTCTGTTTATTGCCGCACTGTTTGCCGTAGCCAAGATGCAGGCCCAGTCTGGATGCCCACGGAGAGACACAGAGAGAGAAAATATAGTGTGTACAAACAAATATGGTACACACACAAGAGAATTTTATTCATCTATAAATAAGACTAATATATTGACATTTGCAGTAAAATAGACGGAACTGGAGATAATTATATTAAGTTGAATAAACTAAATCAGAAAGAGAAACACAGCATCTTGACTCCCATAAGCAGAGTCTAGGTTTTTTAATGATTTGTATTATCTAATGTAGGTGTGAGTGCACACATGTATGTGCCCTGTGGCCAGAAGATGGCGTCGGACCCTCTGGAGCTGAGGTTATGGTCGTTCTGAGCTACCTGACTTGTCTTCTAAAGCTGAACTTGGGTCCTCTGTTGACTGTTAAGTGCTATTAACCAGTAAACCACCTTCCCAGCCCCAAAGTCTAAATGTGTGTGTATGTCATCAAAGTAGAAAGGAGACCATGAAAATGTAAGAAGAGATCTCCAGGTGGAAGCAGGGACAGGGTGATGGAATGTACACACCATAACAGCAGAAGTGGAGACCAGAGGAGGGGAGGGCTAGCAAACAAGGAAAGTAGAGAAAGGGGGTGAATGAGAACAGAGTGTAACAATATGTACAAGCTTGGCATGGTAGTGGTCATCTTTACTCTCAGTACTAGGGAGCAAGAGGCAGGCAGATCTATATTAGACTTGTCTATATACTGAGTTTTGTTTTGGTATGGTTCGATTTATTTATTTATTTATTTATTTATTTATTTATTTATTTATTTATTTATTTATTTATTTATTGTGACAGAATCTCTCTTTGTATTCCTGAATGCCTTGAAAAATCTCCTTGTAGACCAGACTGGCTGTGAACTCACAGAGATCTGTAGTGAGAATTTTGTTGTTGTTGTTGTTTTTCTCCCCCCCCCCCCCAGTTATGCTATGTGAATATGTTATATGTTTTTGTTTTAATGCCTGGAATGGATAAGAGGCTGCTTCACAGCAGGTGATTAGGATTGTCTTGTGCTCCAGCAGAGGTGTGATTTTAGCCAGCTGCAGATAGTTTACGTTTGGAATTATGGGGACTCTGGAGAGGGGATAAATGCTAGATCCCAGAGAGGGCCAGGAGGTGAGCCAAAGATGGCTGCTGTTCCCTCTGCTGTTGTGGTTTGTCAAGTGGTCAGTGGTCCTGAGCAAAGAGACAAGAAGTAGAAGAAGTTGGAGATAAGCCTGACAATGAAGATTGGACTTGCCTCCAAGGAATCCAGCAACCCTAATTAGCAGGAAGTAGTCTAAAGAGGTCAATGCTCCCTTTCCCCTCTGACTGTCTTTATTGCCTGCCTAGTGTTGGGGAGTTGGAAGGGATTAGTGTAGAATAAGGGTTGGAAGGGAGGTAGAGGTATAAGAACCCAATAAAATAGAACAAAAATATTGCCCCCAGAGATCTGCCTGCCTCTGCCTCCTGAATTCTGGGATCAAAAGTGTATGCCACCACACCCAGCTACGTAATGAGTTCTAAGCCAGCCAAGACTACATAGTGGGACTCTTCTCAAAACAAAAATAAACAAAATATACATATGAAAACGAAAACTTTTAAAAGATTTTTATTTTTAATTATATGTATATGTGGCAGGGTTTGCATGTGTTTCCAGTGTCCACAAAAGGCCAGAAGAGGCTGTTGGAGGCTCTGAAACTGGAGTAACAGGTAGCTGTGAGGCCCTCAGTTGGATGCTGGGGGCTGAACTCGAGTCCTCTGCACTGTGCTCTCTCTTTTTTTTTTTTTAGGTTTATTATTTTTTTTATTAATTACACTTTATTCATTTTGTATCCCCCCATAAGCCCCTCCCTCCTCCCCTGCCGATCCCACCCTCCCTCCCCTTTCTGCATGCATGCCACTCCCCAAGTCCACTGATAGGGGAGGTTCTCCTCTTCTTTCTGATCTTAGTCTATCAGTTCTCATCAAAAGTGGCTGCATTGTCCTCTACTGTGGCCTGGTAAGGATGCTCCCCCCTCAGGGGGAAGTGATCAACGAGCAGATCAGATTATGTCTGCACTGTGCTCTCTTAACCACTGAGCCATCTCTCTAGCCCTAAAATAAATCTTTTTTTTTTTTTTTTATTTTTTAAGAGAAAGGAAGAAAATGGGAGTGGGATGAGCCTGTGGTCAGTGTCAGACCTCCCCAGGGAGAAGTGATAGTAAGAAGCTCCAGTTTCAGCCTCCAGTGGAGTCCAGGACACTTCCAGGGCAGGTGGACCAAAGAGAAAGCGATGACCACAGCCCAGTGCAAGTTTGTTGGGACAGGAAGATGCAAAGGCAGAAGCCACAGCTCAGCTCTGTGCAGTCAGCCAGTCACTGGCCTGCAGTCACCAAACATCTCTGAACAAGCCACTGAATGCCACAGCCACCACCTGGAACAGCATTTCCAGGGTCTGGAGGACTCTCAAGTCAAAGGGATGAGTAGAGGGTGGCTGGCTGTCATGGCAGGATGGTGTGTGCACAGGAATCTGTAGGCAAGAACAAAGTTGCTGAGAGGTCTGGCTGCCACCTCTGCTGCGAATCCACCTGAGGGTGCTTGCCTTGGTCTCCCTGGATTCTAAAGAGGGTAGAGGTGTGTAGCCTCTGGTGTCAGCCTGTATGCTTTAGGAGCCATCACTGTCTGCATGGGGCACCCCACTGCACCCCACTGCTGTCAGGAAGCCTACAGGACATTTGGTCACCTTCACAGTTGACTTTTGCAGACACATAGCTATACACACACACACACACACACACACACACACACACACACACACACACA